AACTCCAAAGGAACATATTCTCTGAACATGGGAACTCTGTGAATTTTACTCTTGAACGGGTATAGAATGTATATTTTATACATAAGATGTCTTTAACAAACATATATGAACATATTTTCCGAAAATGGATTTAATGCGATTTTACGATAAAAAACAAAACTAAACAAAATCAGTCTTAAATCATGTGACACAGCCGTGCCATTTGGGAGTTCATTCAGTCTGGTGTGACACAGCGGCGCCTTTCCCAAAAATACAAAAAAATCATCGCTAAGTGGTCAAACCCACTACTGGTGTGATGTGTATAAGTGCCCGGTACGAGGCGAGTGTGTTTTGACAAGTGGGAATTATATACGTTATGTGAACCTTAAAAGACGTCTGATTTGCTCCATAAGTGGAGTGTGTGAGGAGTGTCAAGTGTGTCAAGAGAGTCAAATATAGGAGGAGTGTCAAGTGTATGAGGAACATCAAAAGAGAGGTGAGGTAACTGGGAGATAATCGACCCCAATAATAACACTCTACAACCCTTGGTCCACAACAGGAGGCCGACAGCATAACCCAGGAGTTTGTGGTTGGTGACGGCCGGGTGTGGGGAGGCTACCACAACTATCAACTCCAGACTGGTGCTTCCTACTGGCTCACTGTTATCACCGAGACTACTGCCGGTACGTGCTCCTTGTCCTTGTTATGACACCTCCATGACTCTATGGTGGGGGTGTGGTCCTTATCCTTGTTATGACACCTCCATGACACTATGGCGGGTATGTGGTCCTTATCCATGCTAGGGCACGTCCATGACACAAGGCAGGTATGTATTCACCTAGTTGTGCTAGAAGGGGTTGAGCTCTGCTTTTTCGGCCCGCCTCTCAACTGTCAATCAATCAACTGTTACTAACTACTAATTTTTTTCCACACACACACACACACACACACACACACACACACACACACACACACACACACACACACACACACACACACACACACACACACACACACACACACACACACACACACACACACACACACACACACACACACACACACACAGTAGTTAACGAAAATCATAACAAACGCAGTGTTTCCACAGGGCTACTATGTAGTGAGGAAAGAGAGAGAAGGGAGAGGAGGAGGTGGTGTAGCTCTGCTACTAAGAGAAGGTTGGAGTTTCGAAGAGATGGTAATTCAGAACTGTGAAGGTTTCAGTGACTACATTTCAGGCACCATAGCAACTGGAGGACAGAAAATTATAATAGTAGTCATATATAACCCCCCACCAAATGACAGAAGACCCAGACAGGAATATGATAGAAACAACTTGGCCACCATCAATATAATAGAGAGAGCAGCTTCTGTGGCTAGCAGGAACGGATCCAGACTTCTAATCATGGAAGACTTCAACCATGGGAAGATAGATTGGGGGAACAGAGACCCACATGGAGGCCCAGACACATGGAGAGCTAAGCTGCTGGATGTGGCAACAAGAAACTTTCTAAGTCAACACGTCAAGGGACCGACAAGAATGAGAGGAGGGGATGAACCAGCCTTGCTTGATCTGATATTTACCCTAAATGAGTCGGATATAAGGGAAGTTAAGTTGGAAGCCCCCTTGGGAATGAGTGATCATAGTGTATTGAGCTTTGAGTACCTGGTTGAGCTGGGAATTATCACCCCCAAAAAAGAACTGGGAACCAAAGGGCTGGCGTACCGAAAGGGAAACTATGAGGAAATGAATAAATTCCTATGGGATATACATTGGGACACAGAACTCGGAACCAAGTCCGTACAAGACATGATGGACTATGTCACCCAAAAATGTCAGGAGGCTGTAAGCAGGTTTGTCCCAGCCCGACAGGAAAAAACAGAAGCAAAGGAAGAATCCGTGGTTCAATAAGGAATGTATGAAAGCAAAGGAGCAGAACAAAAGGGCATGGAGGAACTTCCGTAATAACAGAACACCAGAAAGTAGGGAGAGATACCAGTGAACCAGGAACGAGTATGTCAGTGTGAGAAGAGCAGCTGAGAAAAGGTATGAAAATGATATAACTAATAAAGCCAAGACCGAACCAAAGCTACTACACAGTCACATCAGGAGGAAGACAACAGTGAAGGAACAGTTGATGAAACTTAGGGTGGGCGAGGACAGGTACACAGAGAATGACAAAGAGGTGTGTGAATAACTCAACAAAAGGTTCTTTGAGGTCTTTACAATAGAACAGGGAGATGTCGCGGCGCTAGAAGAGGTGGCAGCAAACCAGGTGACCTTGGATAGGTTCGAAATTACAAAAGATGAGGTCAAGAAGCACCTATTGGAGTTGGATGTGAGAAAAGCTGTTGGGCCGGATGGAATCTCACCATGGGTATTGAAAGAGTGTGCAGGAGCACTTTGCCTACCATTCTCCATAGTGTATAGTAGGTCACTGGAAACGGGGGACCTACCAGAAATATGGAAGACTGCTAATGTAGTACCAATATACAAAAAGGGTGACAGACAAGAGGCACTGAATTACAGGCCAGTGTCCTTAACTCGTATACCATGCAAGGTGATGGAGAAGATTGTGAGAAAAAACCTAGTAACACATCTGGAGAGAAGAGACTTCGTGACAACCCATCAACATGGGTTCAGGGAGGGTAAATCTTGCCTTACAGGATTGATAGAATTCTACGATCAGGTGACAAAGATTAAACAAGAAAGAGAAGGGTGGGCGGACTGCATTTTTTTGGACTGTCGGAAAGCCTTTGACACAGTACCCCATAAAAGGTTGATGCATAAGCTAGAGAAACAGGCAGGAGTAACTGGTAGGGCGCTCCAGTGGATAAGGGAGTACCTAAACAATAGGAAGTAGAGAGTTTCAGTGAGGGGTGAGACCTCAGACTGGCGTGAAGTCACCAGTGGAGTCCCACAGGGCTCTGTACTTGGACCTATCCTGTTTCTGATATACGTAAATGATCTCCCAGAGGGTATAGACTCATTCCTCTCAATGTTTGCTGACGACGCCAAAATTATGAGAAGGATTAAGACAGAGGAGGACAGCTTAAGGCTTCAAGAAGACCTGGACAAGCTGCAAGAATGGTCGAACAAATGGCTGTTAGAGTTTAATCCAAGCAAATGTAATGTAATGAAGATAGGGGTAGGAAGCAGGAGACCAGATACAAGGTATCACTTGGGAGATGAAATACTTCAGGAGTCCGAGAGAGAGAAAGACCTGAGGGTTGATATCACGCCAGACCTGTCCCCTGATGCTCATATCAAGAGGATAACAGCAGCAGCATATGCCAGGTTGGCTAACATAAGAACGACCTTTAGAAACTTGTGTAAGGAATCTTTCAGAACATTATATACCACATATGTCAGACCAATCCTGGAGTATGCGGCACCAGCATGGAGTCCATATCTAGTCAAGTATAAGACTAAAATGGAAAAGGTTCAAAGGTTTGCCACCAGACTAGTACCTGAGCTGAGAGGTATGAGCTACGAGGAGAGACTACAGGAATTAAACCTCACTTCGTTGGAAGACAGAAGAGTTAGGGGGGACATGATCACCACATTCAAGATCCTCAAGGGAATTGACAGGGTTGATAAAGACAGGCTGTTTAACACAAGGGGCACACGCACTAGGGGACACAGGTGGAAACTGAGTGCCCAAATGAGCCACAGAGATATTAGAAAGAACTTTTTTAGTGTCAGAGTGGTTGACAAATGGAATGCATTAGGAAGTGATGTGGTGGAGGCTGACTCCATACACAGTTTCAAGTGTAGATATGATAGAGCCCAATAGGCTCAGGAACCTGTACACCTGTTGATTGACAGTTGAGAGGCGGGACCAAAGAGCCAGAGCTCAACCCCCGCAAGCACAACTAGGTGAGTACACACACAGGAAGCTGCCCGTAGAGCTGTCTAACTCCCAGGTACCTATTTACTGCTAGGTAACAGCGGCATCGAAGTGAAAGAAACTTCGCCTATTTTGTTTCTGCCATCAGCCGGGATCGAACTCGGACCCCAGGATTAGGAGTACAGAACGTTGTCCACTCGGCTATCAGGCCCCCATGGTCATTGAAGAGAAATATAGTTATTTATGAAATAAAATTTCATTAATAATTTCCCTGTTGGGTGACTCGTCTCATTATTTCTGGCCAACAATAAGCTAGATAGAACTGGAATCGGAAAGATCACCTCCATTAATAGTACATGATGAATGTGTTGATAATGGGAACACTTTACATCCCATAACACTACGTCCAAGGACATTTTTGTGTTGAGCTTGAAGTGAGCTCCATACGAGACTTCTTTGTTAAATTAATAATGGCGGCTACAGGCCTCCTTCCACTGACGCATCCGGTCTTCTCCAGATGCTTTTTATCAAGAAGTGGAAAGCGAGCTCACATTTACTCTATTTTAATACTGATAATTATTAAGTTGTATCAAGGGGAATGTTATTATGATGTTTACAGTCCAAAGACTGAGGTATTGAGAAGAATTCCCATTAATATAGCTCGTGAATATAAAGGCGACATATGGAAGTGATATCCCCATTTTCTTCAAAAGATATTTCCACTGTGTCTCATTTTCTATGAGTTATTGAAAGTTGGTAAATTGTGTCGGCTTTTCTGACATGGAAATTAAAAGGACTTAATAATCAATAATTGAAAGTGGACTGATTGAAGATCATGCGTAGGATTAAGTCTGGCTGATGACGTCGTCAGAAATTAGGCATAAAGGAAGGAAGCTATTTCATCTCCACATAAAAATATTTTTCCATGGAAATTACCAATTAATCATGGCCATGGAAAAAATCTTTGAATATGAGTAATCATTAATCACCACCACGAAAAAATATTTGTAGACTACGAGCAATTGTTACGCATTGCTATGGATAATTATTTGTTAATTATGAGCAATTATTAATCACGACATGAGATGTGGGATTTCTTTTACCTTCTGACTATATATATATATATATATATATATATATATATATATATATATATATATATATATATATATATATATATATATATATATATATATATATATATATATGAATGAAAACTCACACCCCAGAAGTGACTCGAACCCATACTCCCAGAAGCAACGCAACTGGTAACTACAGGGCGCCTTAATCCGCTTGACCATCACGGCCGTCAAAAGGAAGTGATAGCCGAGGCTATTTGAGCCACTTCCCCGACGGCAACTCGGATGGTAATCTTGGGCATAGCATTTCACCAAATCACCTCATTCTTTGGGGCACACGTGAGGAACACAAATGCGAACAAGCCTGAATGGTCCCCAGGACTATATGCGAATGAAAACTCACACCCCAGAAGTGACTCGAACCCATACTCCCAGAAGCAACGCAACTGGTAACTACAGGGCGCCTTAATCCGCTTGACCATCACGGCCGTCAAAAGGAAGTGATAGCCGATAGCCGGAAGTGGCTCAAATAGCCTCGGCTATCACTTCCTTTTGACGGCCGTGATGGTCAAGCGGATTAAGGCGCCCTGTAGTTACCAGTTGCGTTGCTTCTGGGAGTATGGGTTCGAGTCACTTCTGGGGTGTGAGTTTTCATTCGCATATAGTCCTGGGGACCATTCAGGCTTGTTCGCATTTGTGTTCCTCACGTGTGCCCCAAAGAATGAGGTGATTTGGTGAAATGCTATGCCCAAGATTACCATCCGAGTTGCCGTCGGGGAAGTGGCTCAAATAGCCTCGGCTATCACTTCCTTTTGACGGCCGTGATGGTCAAGCGGATTAAGGCGCCCTGTAGTTACCAGTTGCGTTGCTTCTGGGAGTATGGGTTCGAGTCACTTCTGGGGTGTGAGTTTTCATTCGCATATAGTCCTGGGGACCATTCAGGCTTGTTCGCATTTGTGTTCCTCACGTGTGCCCCAAAGAATGAGGTGATTTGGTGAAATGCTATGCCCAAGATTACCATCCGAGTTGCCGTCGGGGAAGTGGCTCAAATAGCCTCGGCTATCACTTCCTTTTGACGGCCGTGATGGTCAAGCGGATTAAGGCGCCCTGTAGTTACCAGTTGCGTTGCTTCTGGGAGTATGGGTTCGAGTCACTTCTGGGGTGTGAGTTTTCATTCGCATATAGTCCTGGGGACCATTCAGGCTTGTTCGCATATATATATATATATATATATATATATATATATATATGTCGTACCTAGTAGCCAGAATGCACTTCTCGGCCTACTATGCAAGGCCCGATTTGCCTAATAAGCCAAGTTTTCATGAATTAATATATTTTCTCAATTTTTTTTCTGATGAAATGATAAAGCTACCTATTTCATTATGTATGAGGTCAATTTTTTTTTATTGGAGTTAAAATTAACGTAGATATATGACCGAACCTAACCAACCCTACCTAACCTAACCTAACCTATCTTTATAGGTTAGGTTAGGTTAGGTAGCCGAAAAAGTTAGGTTAGGTTAGGTTAGGTAGTCGAAAACCAATTAATTCATTAAAACTTGGCTTATTAGGCAAATCGGGCCTTGCATAGTAGGCAGAGAAGTGCGTTCTGGCTACTAGGTACGACATATATATATATATATATATATATATATATATATATATATATATATATATATATATATATATATATAATATGATGAACTTATGTCATAAGAATAATAACACCTCGTGGTGACACAGGTCCCCACCGGGAGATGGTGGTGTCTCCCCCTCACCGCTACACAGTCAACACCACCACCTGTGCAGCCCTCTACCTGGGCCTGGTACTCGCCATTGAACTGCTTGTGGAGCTGGCTGCTTTCTTCCTGTGGCGCCACAGGCAAGTAGGCTGGGTGTTACACAGGTAGGCTGGGTGTTACACAGGTAGGCTGGGTGTTACACAGGTAGGCTGGGTGTTACACAGGTAGGCTTGGTGTTACACAGGTAGGCTGGGTGTTACACAGGTAGGCTGGGTGTTACACAGGTAGGCTGGGTGTTACACAGGTAGGCTGGGTGTTACACAGGTAGGCTTGGTGTTACACAGGTAGGCTGGGTGTTACACAGGTAGGCTGGGTGTTACACAGGTAGGCTGGGTGTTACACAGGTAGGCTGGGTGTTACACAGGTAGGCTGGGTGTTACACAGGTAGGCTGGGTGTTACACAGGTAGGCTGGGTGTTACACAGGTAGGCTGGGTGTTACACAGGTAGGCTGGGTGTTACACATGTAGGCTGGGTGTTACACAGGTAGGCTGGGTGTTACACAGGTAGGCTGGGTGATACACTTGGGGTTAATGAACTAATATCATAAGGTAAACACAGTGAAAGAAATATTGCCACATAAGACAGGATGCATCAGCACTGAACAACTGTGGACAATGTGTACACATTCACCCTGTGCCTCACCCTACAGGTCCCACACAGTGTGTACACATTCACCCTGTGCCTCACCCTACAGGTCCCACACAGTGTGTACACATTCACCCTGTGTGTCTCCCTACAGGTCCCACACAGTGTGTACACATTCACCCTGTGCCTCACCCTACAGGTCCCACACAGTGTGTACACATTCACCCTGTGCCTCACCCTTCAGGTCCCACACAGTGTGTACACATTCACCCTGTGTGTCACCCTACAGGTCCCACACAGTGTGTACACATTCACCCTGTGTGTCACCCTACAGGTCCCACACAGTGTCTACACATTCACCCTGTGTGTCACCCTACAGGTCCCACACAGTGTGTACACATTCACCCTGTGTGTCACCCTACAGGTCCCACACAGTGTGTACACATTCACCCTGTGCCTCTCCCTACAGGTCCCACACAGTGTGTACACATTCACCCTGTGCCTCTCCCTACAGGTCCCACACAGTGTACACATTCACCATGTGCCTCTCCCTACAGGTCCCACACAGTGTACACATTCACCCTGTGCCTCATCCTACAGGTCCCACACAGTGTGCACAAATTTACCCTGTGTGTCACCCTACAAGTCCCACACAGTGTGTACACATTCACCCTGTGGGTCACCCTACGGGTCCCACAGTGTGTACACATTCACCTTGTGTGTCACCCTACAGGTCCCACACAGTGTGTACACATTCACCCTGTGTGTCACCCTACAGGTCCCACACAGTGTGTACAAATTTACCCTTTGTGTCACCCTACAAGTCCCACACAGTGTGTACACATTCACCCTGTGGGTCACCCTACGGGTCCCACACAGTGTGTACACATTCACCTTGTGTGTCACCCTACAGGTCCCACACAGTGTGTACACATTCTCCCTGTGCCCCACCCTACAGGTCCCACACAGTGTGTACACATTCACCCTGTGTGTCACCCTACAGGTCTTGAGGTTATCTTGAGATGATTTCGGGGCTTTAGTGTCCCCGCGGCCCGGTCCTCGACCAGGCCTCCACCCCCAGGAAGCAGCCCGTGACAGCTGACTAACTCCCAGGTACCTATTTACTGCTAGGTAACAGCTGACTAACTCCCAGGTACCTATTTACTGCTAGGTAACAGGGGCATTCAGGGTGAAAGAAACTTTGCCCATTTGCTTCTGCCTCGTGCGGGAATCGAACCCGCGCCACAGAATTACGAATCCTGTGCGCTATCCACCAGGCTACGAGGTCCCACATACAGTGTGTACACATTCACCCTGTGCCTCACCCTACAGGTCCCACACACTGTTTACACATTCACCCTGTGCCTCACCCTACAGGTCCCACACACTGTGTACACATTCACCCTGTGCCTCACCCTACAGGTCCCACACAGTGTGTACACATTCACCCTGTGCCTCACCCTACAGGTCCCACACACTGTGTACACATTCACCCTGTGCCTCACCCTACAGGTCCCACACAGAGGCCAGCCTCACCATCAGTGACAAGCTGGACACCCGTCACCATCTTCCTCACGGTAAGACCCATTTATCACTGTTTATGGTCTTGAAAGATCTATTTAGGGTTACATTAAATGTGTTATTCTAAAACTGTAAGAAATAAACCTTACATGAAATTACAGTCTTGAATATTATTTTGATTATAATATATAAATAATAATTAATAATAACATATATTTTTCATAGAACTAACAAATTTACCATTAATATTACCACTATTTCCACACCTACTACTACTACAGCTACTACGTCAGCTACTATTACTACCACTACTACTACTATTACTACTACTACTATAACTATCACTACTTCTACTATTACTACTATACTACTACTACTACAGCTACTACTAATAATAATAATTATATTAACAATAATAATAAACACAGTAATAATAATAATAATGAGAAAAACCCACTTTGGTTGTGAGGCGACACGAACCCCGCGACCAAGGCATTGCCAGCCACATACTCTACCACTGTACCATCACTGACTTGTTAAAAGTCTTACAACCGAACCTCTCATGAAATCATAGCAAGTCAGGAAGTCCTGAACCCAGGCCAAGTTTTTTACTAGTGACCCCCAAGCACTCGGGTGAAGGGTAAAGTAGTTCAACACCGTTTGTCCCAACTTCAGATACACCGTAATTCTGATTACATCATTCCATCAGCTGAAATGCTAAAGCCCTTCATTAAGGCGATATTTAGGGCGTCAACTTCACAATGCTGCTGAGGCCCCAATGCATGGTAAATCTCTAGTGCACGACCCTTCACTAAAGTCGCAAGAGCTCCTACCAAGAATCTTTTCTTCCATTCTGCATCGGAAGCCATTCGTTCAAAGCATCGGATGTATGCATCCACCGAGACGATCTTTTCATCAACTGGTTCCATGCGTGGCATCTTAATTAAACATTAACTCTTGCCCTGCCTGAATGGCTTGGCTAAGTGGTGGCACCTGAGCAGTGTTACCCTGCTTGTGCATGCAAGACAGCAATCCTTTCTCTGCTTAACCTGCTCTGCAGAATATTCCACATGTCAGCTACATAGCTGGCTTTCTTATCACCCTGGAGATCCAGATCCTCGGCTTGATCTCTCAGCTCTGCAATAGTGAATTTCCCTGGAGTTGTACACTCCCTATCCTGGAGAGCAATTGCGGCATCTGTCTGTCTACAGATGAAATACTCCCTTCGCTGAGGGACTCAACTTCAATCCTGGACTGAGGTCTCGACTCTTCATCCAAATTCCAGGGTGTACCGGCTGTCACACCCTCTTGACACCCTGAAAACAACGTTGTCATCCACTGGGAAATCCTCCTTCCCATGTTCGCTTCCACTGACTTCATCCACAGTGTAAAAGCTGGCGTCATGCCCTCCAGGCAACTCCTGAGTGGTCCCATGCAACATACGTTGCACTCTAGCTTGGTGCCTATGCACCCCACTTGACATTCCTCTTCAGTGAGGCTGTCATAGTCCACTGGCACGCGGCTATGGAAAGCAACATAAATTTTCAAGTACCTTGAGAGTTTCAGACATATTGTGTGTGTGTGTGTGTGTACCTAACTGATGAAAACAGTGAACAACCACAACCTTCAACAGTACTGATTCCCACTCAAACACTGCAACAATGTCTTCTTTACTGTACTTGCATGCTACTGTAACTCAAGTGTTTGCTCATAGGCTCGAATCCAAGTTGCATAGCTCCACGCTGGGCTCCAGATGTGAGATTTCCTATTGTTTAACACTATTAGGTGAACCCAATCAGAAAGACTGCCCAGAGCTAACACGTAAGTGCAAGATGTGAAGATTATACGTCGAATGACTGGAATAACAGGCGAGAGCAGCCGTCGGAGTCCAACTGCTGGATCCCCTATCCACTAGGTCATTTAGCTCCTCTATTACTTGTGGCAATCAAAAGGGTAACTAATGGGTACTCACACTGAATTTGTATTCATTGGTAATGTCAATAAATCAGTTTCGAATCCAGAAGCAGGCCCTTGTTAAATGCAAGAGAAAAGAAGTTTGATGTCGCTTGAAACATTGGAGTCAGTATTGTTGAAAGTTATTGATATTAAGACACTTTTCTTTGCAACAAAACAATTTATTAACAAAAACTTAATACTAATAACAGCACATATAATTTAACGTTACGTTAATTGTCCTTCAGTAACACAACTAACAGCTGTTCAAACGGCTAAATATAGCAAAACCTCCTGTCCTTGCCGCTTCGGGCTGATACAATGAACTACACTGAACAAGCGGGTGCTCTGCTCACTCGGACTCAAGAAATGCAATAAAAAAAATTGCTGCAAAACAATTAATAACCAAACACCGCTAGGCTGGTCACTGAGACAGTCTTCAGTAAACAACTCAATTACGTTAACACACGTCTCTAAGGACGGCAATCAAAACAATTACTTTATCATTTTATCACATATACCGGAACAATTCATGTTAATAAATTCAATCACCACAAAAAAATATTTAATTACATTAATTACTGGTATAAGACAGTCAAACAGTTAAAAAGTAATTTACGTAATTACACTCTGTCACTACAGACAGACAATGAATCATACAAAAATTCTCTACAGTATTTACTCTGTCACTCAGACAATTAAACAATCGGTGAGTAATTACATAAATTATTGTCACGTAAACTGCTAATTAATGAAGACGAATTACGTTAACACTACGCTATCACAAACTATAGCTTGTCAAACAAGAATCAGTCAACACTGTTCTAATTACGTTAATTACTCTGCTTCAACACACAGCTAATCTCAATGATGAAACACTCACTGATCCCTAAAGTTAAATAATATAAGATCAAATAAATTCTTGTCACGCAGACAACTCAGAAAACACAGTAACACTTTATCCTGCAATCATAGTGTTTAACAACTCACAAGAGCAATAACACACCACAACACGGAATAACAAAATAAATGTTAGTCACACAGTTAGGAATAGTACCCAATACTTATCCCAGGGTATCACAAAGACAACTCTTTACTCAGACTGGTTTTCTTCTGAAAAGAGATACAGGTATACATATGGAATTTTACACAGTGTCGGTATATATTGAACCGCACCTCAACTTCAACACAATAGAACAACCCTGACTACATGTGTAAATATGTGTAACATATTCACCACCAGAGACTGAATTGCAGTAATCCCACAGACTTACTGTAATCGTCCTTTATATGTGCGTTCCTCGACAACGCTTCCCTCACTGTACAGGTGCTAATGGACAACGTCAAGTCGAAAAGTTGATGTAAAGTCAACACTGGGAACTCAGCACAAACAACACAGAGATAATTTTATGAGTACTCACATCATTAGACCGGCCTTCCCATTTAACCTTTCATCATACATATAGTGATGAATTCTGCAGTTGATTGAAGATCAACATGGAAGATGTTTGATCTTCGTGGAGGATGAACAGCTGATGGACAGGTGATGATGTCGTCTGTTCAAATCGAGCGCCACGGCGCAGAGCACTGGGTAACACTAGTGAGGCGAGTGTGGGTAGGGTCCCGTCCACATAGATGAAATTTGGTTGCTCTAAAAATGAGGTGAACACCACGCTCGGAGGCACGGTTTGGAGGAAAATTTCTATGTCCACAAAGATAACTGTAATTTACCCAATTTATTCCGAAGGAATCAAAGATCACTGGGAAACTTTTGCTTATTCCCATCAAGTCAGCTATCATAGCAAGATGTTGACGGATCGCTACTAATGCTGACGATGATCACGGATTTTAACACTGAAGTCTGTATCACTCTGCTGAGATCACACGTTTATTCAATATCTCTATATCTCTCTTGTTTCACTCGTAATATCGTAATTCCTATTGTAAATAACTCTAACCAGGGTAGGTAATTTTCTCTACCCTTTCTCTTCACTCAATACCCCAGTTTAACACTGCTTACAGCTCAGTATGACCCCTCACTGAGCCACCGCGAATATAAGCTGAGATATTAACTGATGAGGAAATAACAAGAATAGGGATTATTATTTTAAACTAATAATTAAAACTCGTTGAAAACTGCCACCACCTCCCTAACCAGTTGAATGTGTCTAAATTACTGATTCCCCAGGAAGGAAGGGAATCAATAATCATAAAACTGAAGGGCAATAGAATCTTGGTTAATAAATCTTGAGAAGTAATACTGCACTCTTTACTGATGGAGATTCAAGAGCAACTTTAATATTCATTACTGGAGGAGAAAACAGGGACAATTGTTCCGAATACTACACCAATACTCATGAATCAGCATTAATCAAAGGGGACAGATAACTAAACACAAAATCGATTTAATTCTTTCATTTGTCACACGTATATTCAAATCAAATTGAAAAATAAATCCTAATTTACTAAGAAATCCTACGAGGCAATTGGAGTACGGTGTGTAATTACTAAGCATACCAAAACTCAGACATTACCTTATTCCTGCAAAACTCGGCGAAGATGTTGAATGGCTTGGCCCCACAGGCCAAGAGACCTGCACCCCAGTAAGTCTCAAGACACACCGACTTTAATATTTTCTAAAACTCTTACCAGTGGAACAGACTCCACTCACCTAGTTCCTAGGCCCAATTAACTCCCCGCCTTCCAAAACTAGGGCTAATGAATTCAAACACAACTGGGAGTTCTGGAAACTTGGCCAATGGAATTATCAGGCCCTACCCTGGGGGACTCCGCCACCACAGGCCTCCATGACTAACCAATCCGAATGAGGCCAGAAATAGGCATGTTCTTTAGGCTCTGTTTCCCTTGACAGAAGTCTCCACAAGTTCCCACGCCCAGTGCCCGGACCTGGCGCCAGAGAGTCCAAACCGCTGGCTGTAGGCCGAGTTTATGGTACCTAGCACCCTCACCCGAAACTTGAGAACTACGGTAATGGCACTGAATTCGTGACTGGTCCTAAATCGGTCACTGGTCATGGAGGGGACAGGTGAAGAGAGAGGGGTAGATGGATTGGAAGGAATTTGGAATAGGATTGGAGGGAGGGATTAATGAATAGGATATTGGAAGGAGACTGGGCTGGGGTGGACTCCCAGGAAGGACACCTGACCCCAAAGGTTTATAGTAAGGGAATGGCTGGACAACAGGGGGAGGGGGGGGGGAAGGGGAAGGGGGATGAGGCAACAGGGAAGGGGCGAATGAACAAGGACAAGAGGGAAGGGGAGAAGGAGGGAGAGGGGAGAGTCATGAACTGAGCACCAGATCATTACACTATCGTCGCAAAACCCAGATTGTGTAGAATGACTCGCGTTGACGGAACGAAGATAGCAAGATGAACTTCTTGTCGCGTTTAGACGCAACAACTCTCTAGTTGTGGCTTCTTCCCACAACTAGGGAGCACAACAACACAACTTCCTTCACAAGTCTTCCTTGGGTCACGTGGTGCCTCGTGACGTCACAGGTGGAGGCCTCTGTACACACAGATGGTTGCAGGGTCGTAGCCGACTGACCACAAACTCCTGCCAGTACCCCGCCACTCTATAAGCTGGTTTTACCTCTGTAGGATTTCTTCCTGTTACGATGGGTGTAGTTTCCTTACCAAATTTGCTACGTCGGCCACCGTGCTATTTTCTGCCAGTTGGGGTCCTCCACTGTCCAATCACACCCAACAATGTACACTTGTTATACATACTAACCGAGTTAGCTTTTGGTCCACTCATCATAGAAACAATATGGCGATGTGCACTCACTACCCCTCATTTATAAGCTCGCTGGTAATCCATTCACTCACATGAAGACTTCACACTCCTGCACCTCATTATGTTCCTCTTCAACCTTCTCAAGACGTGGTTGGTAGTGAAGACTTATCTCTTCTGCACTTAATTTCCTCTATGAAACAGGTCTCACTGAATAAAATAAATCCTAACTTTCGTAACGTAACCTAACACAACCCACTCTAGCTCTAACTTAGCATAGTCTGATCTAGCCTCTAATAACCTGACAGTTTTAACAGAAAACAAGCTGAGTTAGATGAGTGTGTACTGTGTGACCACTCTCCCACACTGTGTGACCACTCTCCCACACTGTGGGACCACTCTCCCACGCTGTGGGACCACTCTCCCACACTGTGGGACCACTGCCCACCTTCTTTACTTCTCAATGAGTACGAAATATTATATATTATTTATATATTTTACTATAAAAAATTTAAATGATGAAAAATAAGTAGTTCTGTTTGGCAGAATTTATTGAGAAGGTTACATGGAGCTGTTTTACATTGATCGTCCTCAGGTAAAACATTAAGAGGAAAGTTTTTGATGCCGGTAAATAATACATTATGATCGGTTAATGTTCTCAGTCTTGTGAAGGCTTTAAGGCTTTGGGGTAAAGCTCAATAATTCTTTGATATAATCTACTGATAATTTGTCTGTTGGTAGTAACGTAATAATTTAGAATAAAATATTTTATATATATAGTAAATAGACTGTACATATGAAAATACCGAGCATGTTGTATTATTGTTGGCGTCGGGAATGGAAATGTATAACATGACATGAGATAATGTGTGGTCTAAACTCCACAGGAAGAGTACGACTTCCTGCACACGGCGACCATCTCCCACCTGAACGTCTTCAATGTATATAAAAACTTTACTAGATCTTCCTGCAAGTCTTCACCTTCCTGGCAGTCTTCAACCACGTGGAAATCCTCGGCGCACCACCTAGCCATTCTTCAACCACTATAACACACTTGGTTGAATACTCTGCCAGCTCCCAACCTTTATGACCATTTCAGCTGACAACCCAGTCAGTTCTCAGCCATTGTGGACATCTGAGATGACCACCCTGCCAGCTCTCAGCCACTATGGATATCTCAGATGACCAACCTAACAGCTCTCAGCCACTATGGATATCTCAGCTGATCAACGTAACAGCTCTCAGCCATTGTTGACATCTCAGCTGGTCACTCTGCCAGTTCTCAACCATTATAGACATCTCAGCTGGTCACTCTGCCAGCTCTCAGCCATTGTTGACATCTGAGCTGGCCACTCTGCCAGCTCTCAGCCATTGTTGACATCTCAGCTGGTCACTCTGCCAGCTCTCAGCCATTGTTGACATCTCAGCTGGCCACTCTGCCAGCTCTCAGCCATTGTTGACATCTCAGCTGGTCACTCTGCCAGCTCTCAGCCATTGTTGACATCTGAGCTGGCCACTCTGCCAGCTCTCAGCCATTGTTGACATCTCAGCTGGTCACTCTGCCAGCTCTCAGCCATTGTTGACATCTCAGCTGACAACCCTGTTAGCTGAGCCACTGTGCTGTGTGAGAGGGACTGGAGTTGTTGTCAGCGTTGTAACTTGCACCACACGACTCAGGCTCCAGGGCCCCGGACGATGAGACTTCGTGGAGAGCAAGAAATATGTTTAACAAACTCCTTGATTGTACATATACTTGTCAGTGGTTAGTACAGCTGGTCCTTAGTTAGTATAGTTGGTCATTAGTTAGTATAGTTGGTCATTAATTAGTATAGCTGGGTATTAATTAGTAAAGTTAGTCATTAGTTAGTATATAGCTGGTCATTAGTTAGTATAGCTGGTCATTAGTTAGTATAGCTGGTCATTAATTAGTATAGCTGGTCATTAGTTAGTATAGTTGGTCATTAGTTAATATTGTTGGTCATTAGTTAGTATAGTTGGTCATTAGTTAATATTGTTGGTCATTAGTTAGTATAGTTGGTCATTAGTTAATATTGTTGGTCATTAGTTAGTATAGCTGGTCATTAGTTAGAATAGTTGGTCATTAGTTAGTATAGTTGGTCATTAATTAGAATAGTTGGTCATTAGTTAGTATAGTTGGTCATTAGTTAGAATAGTTGGTCATTAGTTAGAATAGTTGGTCATTAGTTAGAATAGTTGGTCATTAGTTAGTATAGTTGGTCATTAGTTAGTATAGTTGGTCATTAGTTAATATTGTTGGTCATTAGTTAGTATAGTTGGTCATTAGTTAATATTGTTGGTCATTAGTTAGTATAGCTGGTCATTAGTTAGAATAGTTGGTCATTAGTTAGTATAGTTGGTCATTAATTAGAATAGTTGGTCATTAGTTAGTATAGTTGGTCATTAGTTAGAATAGTTGGTCATTAGTTAGAATAGTTGGTCATTAGTTAGTATAGTTGGTCATTAGTTAGAATAGTTGGTCATTAGTTAGAATAGTTGGTCATTAGTTAGTATAGTTGGTCATTAGTTAGTATAGCTGGTCATTAATTAGTATAGTTGGTCATTAGTTAGTATAGTTGGTCATTAGTTAATATTGTTGGTCATTAGTTAGTATAGTTGGTCATTAGTTAGTATAGTTGGTCATTAATTAGTATAGTTGGTCATTAGTTAGTATAAAACTGGTCATTAGTTAATATTGTTGGTCATTAGTTAGTATAAAACTGGTCATTAGTTAATATTGTTGGTCATTAATGAATATAGTTGGTCATTAGTTAGAATAGTTGGTCATTAGTTAATATAGTTGGTCATTAGTTAATATAGTTGGTCATTAGTTAGTATAGTTGGTCATTAATTAGTATAGCTGGTCATTAATGAATATAGTTGGTCATTAATTATTATAAAGTTGGTCATTAGTTAGAATAGTTGGTCATTAGTTAGAATAGTTGGTCATTAGTTAGAATAGTTGGTCATTAGTTAGAATAGTTGGTCATTAGTTAGAATAGTTGGTCATTAGTTAGAATAGTTGGTCATTAGTTAGAATAGTTGGTCATTAGTTAGAATAGTTGGTCATTAGTTAGAATAGTTGGTCATTAGTTAATATAGTTAGTCATTAGTTAGTATAGTTGGTCATTAGTTAGAATAGCTGGTCACTGGTGAATAGGTACCCAGAAGTTACTCATCCTGTTGTGGGGTTGCATGCCGGGCGGGGTGAGTAATTCGGACTTGAGGTGGGGGGAGGGGAGTTCGATATAAGCCTAACGTGTATGAATACACTCTGGCTTCCTGTCCCCCGACACAATGAATTATTATCAATGGAGTATCTGGGTTGGAGGGGGGGGGGGAGGAGCGAACGCTCACCATCAGCACATTTGTCTGAAGTAGCAACTTGTCAACCATTTTTTACTCTTCCGTTCACTTGTGTGATAAAGGTGGAAGACCCTGGAAGACCTGAACTTTCAGAAATGGAAGATGGAAGACATGAGGACTTGAGCAGACACTGGTTCACTGGACGATGATGCCAAAAGACATCATTGACACACAGGTGGAATACGCAACAGATCCTCACCTGTTGTGTGAAACACCTGACCTTACACGTGCTCCTCTTGAGTTAGGCCTATGTCAGCCAGGTCTTAAGATAAGTTTAACAGCTTTACAAGAGATGAAGCGGAGCGTCATTTGAGTGCAACTTGGTACAAGTGACAAGTTAACAGTGGTTGTGAAATAGATTGGTGCTGGCTGGTTGACTCACCCGGGGGAACTCTTGGCTTTGTTAGGTGCTGGTTGGTTGACTCACCCGGGGGGAACACTAGGCTTTGTTAGGTGTTGGTTGGTTGACTCACCCGGGGGGAACACTTGGCTTTGTTAGGTGCTGGTTGGTTGACTCACCCGGGGGAACACTTGGCTTTGTTAGGTGTTGGTTGGTTGACTCACCCGGGGGAACTCTTGGCTTTGTTAGGTGCTGGTTGGTTGACTCACCCGGGGGAACACTTGGCTTTGTTAGGTGTTGGTTGGTTGACTCACCCGGGGGGAACTCTTGGCTTTGTTAGGTGCTGGTTGGTTGACTCACCCGGGGGAACACTTGGCTTTGTTAGGTGCTGGTTGGTTGACTCACCCGGGGGGAACACTTGGCTTTGTTAGGTGTTGGTTGGTTGACTCACCCGGGGGGAACTCTTGGCTTTGTTAGGTGTTGGTTGGTTGACTCACCCGGGGGAACACTTGGCTTTGTTAGGTGTTGGTTGGTTGACTCACCCGGAGGAACTCTTGGCTTTGTTAGGTGCTGGTTGGTTGACTCACCCGGGGGGAACACTAGGCTTTGTTAGGTGCTGGTTGGTGACTCACCCGGGGGGGAACACTTGGCTTTGTTAGGGGCTGGTTGGTTGACTCACCCGGGGGGAACACTAGGCTTTGTTAGGAGCTGGTTGGTTGACTCACCCGGGGGGAACACTAGGCTTTGTTAGGTGCTGGTTGGTTGACTCACCCGGGGGGAACACTAGGCTTTGTTAGGTGCTGGTTGGTTGACTCACCCGGGGGGAACACTAGGCTTTGTTAGGTGCTGGTTGGTTGACTCACCCGGGGGGAACACTAGGCTTTGTTAGGGGCTGGTTAGTTGACTCACCCGGGGGGAACACTTGGCTTTGTTAGGTGCTGGTTGGTTGACTCACCCGGGGGGAACACTAGGCTTTGTTAGGTGCTGGTTGGTGACTCACCCGGGGGGAACACTTGGCTTTGTTAGGGGCTGCTTGGTTGACTCACCCGGGGGGAACACTAGGCTTTGTTAGGTGCTGCTTGGTTGACTCACCCGGGGGGAACACTAGGCTTTGTTAGGTGCTGCTTGGTTGACTCACCCGGGGGGAACACTAGGCTTTGTTAGATGCTGGTTGGTTGACTCACCCGGGGGGGAACACTAGGCTTTGTTAGGTGCTGGTTGGTTGACTCACCCGGGGGGAACACTAGGCTTTGTTAGGTGCTGGTTGGTGACTCACCCGGGGGGAACACTTGGCTTTGTTAGGGGCTGGTTGGTTGACTCACCCGGGGGGAACACTAGGCTTTGTTAGGAGCTGGTTGGTTGACTCACCCGGGGGGAACACTAGGCTTTGTTAGGTACTGGTTGGTTGACTCACCCGGGGGGAACATTAGGCTTTGTTAGGTGCTGGTTGGTTGACTCACCCGGGGGGATCACTAGGCTTTGTTAGGGGCTGGTTGGTTGACTCACCCGGGGGAACATTAGGCTTTGTTAGGTGCTGGTTGGTTGACTCACCCGGGGGGAACACTAGGCTTTGTTAGGTGCTGGTTGGTTGACTCACCCGGGGGGAACACTAGGCTTTGTTAGGTGCTTGTTGGTTGACTCACCCGGGGGGAACACTAGGCTTTGTTAGGGGCTGGTTGGTTGACTCACCCAGGGGGAACACTAGGCTTTGTTAGGTGCTGGTTGGTTGACTCACCCGGGGGGAACACTAGGCTTTGTTAGGGGCTGGTTGGTTGACTCACCCGGGGGGAACACTAGGCTTTGTTAGGTGCTGGTTGGTTGACTCACCCGGGGGGAACACTAGGCTTTGTTAGGGGCTGGTTGGTTGACTCACCCGGGGGAACATTAGGCTTTGTTAGGTGCTGGTTGGTTGACTCACCCGGGGGGAACACTAGGCTTTGTTAGGTGCTGGTTGGTTGACTCACCCGGGGGGAACACTAGGCATTGTTAGGGGCTGGTTGGTTGACTCACCCGGGGGGAACACTAGGCTTTGTTAGGTGCTGGTTGGTTGACTCACCCGGGGGGGAACACTAGGCTTTGTTTGGTGCTGGTTGGTTGACTCACTCGGGGGGAACATTAGGCTTTGTTAGGTGCTGGTTGGTTGACTCACCCGGGGGGAACACTAGGCATTGTTAGGGGCTGGTTGGTTGACTCACCCGGGGAACACTAGGCTTTGTTAGGTGCTGGTTGGTTGACTCACCCGGGGGGAACACTAGGCTTTGTTAGGTGTTGGTTGGTTGACTCACCCGGGGGAACACTTGGCTTTGTTAGATGTTGGTTGGTTGACTCACCCGGGGAACACTAGGCTTTGTTAGGTGCTGGTTGATTGACTCACCCGGGGGGAACACTAGGCTTTGTTAGGTGCTGGTTGGTTGACTCACCCGGGGGGAACACTAGGCTTTGTTAGGGGCTGGTTGGTTGACTCACCGGGGGGAACACTAGGCTTTGTTAGGTGCTGGTTGGTTGACTCACCCGGGGGGAACACTAGGCTTTGTTAGGGGCTGGTTGGTTGACTCACCCGGGGGAACATTAGGCTTTGTTAGGTGCTGGTTGGTTGACTCACCCGGGGGAACACTAGGCTTTGTTAGGTGCTGGTTGGTTGACTCACCCGGGGGGAACACTAGGCTTTGTTAGGGGCTGGTTGGTTGACTCACCCGGGGGAACATTAGGCTTTGTTAGGTGCTGGTTGGTTGACTCACCCGGGGGGAACACTAGGCTTTGTTAGGTGCTGGTTGGTTGACTCACCCGGGGGGAACACTAGGCATTGTTAGGGGCTGGTTGGTTGACTCACCCGGGGGGAACACTAGGCATTGTTAGGTGCTGGTTGGTTGACTCACCCGGGGGGGAACACTAGGCTTTGTTAGGTGCTGGTTGGTTGACTCACTCGGGGGGAACATTAGGCTTTGTTAGGTGCTGGTTGGTTGACTCACCCGGGGGGAACATTAGGCTTTGTTAGGTGCTGGTTGGTTGACTCACCCTGGGAACACTAGGCTTTGTTAGGTGCTGGTTGATTGACTCACCCGGGGGGAACACTAGGCTTTGTTAGGTGCTGATTGGTTGACTCACCCGGGGGGAACACTAGGCTTTGTTAGGGGCTGGTTGGTTGACTCACCCGGGGGGAACACTAGGCTTTGTTAGGTGCTGGTTGGTTGACTCACCCGGGGGGAACACTAGGCTTTGTTAGGGGCTGGTTGGTTGACTCACCCGGGGGAACATTAGGCTTTGTTAGGTGCTGGTTGGTTGACTCACCCGGGGGGAACACTAGGCTTTGTTAGGTGCTGGTTGGTTGACTCACCCGGGGGGAACACTAGGCTTTGTTAGGGGCTGGTTGGTTGACTCACCCGGGGGGAACACTAGGCTTTGTTAGGTGCTGGTTGGTTGACTCACCCGGGGGAACACTTGGCTTTGTTAGGTGTTGGTTGGTTGACTCACCCGGGGGGAACTCTTGGCTTTGTTAGGTGCTGGTTGGTTGACTCACCCGGGGGAACACTTCGCTTTGTTAGGTGCTGGTTGGTTGACTCACCCGGGGGGAACACTTGGCTTTGTTAGGTGTTGGTTGGTTGACTCACCCGGGGGAACACTTGGCTTTGTTAGGTGTTGGTTGGTTGACTCACCCGGGGGGAACTCTTGGCTTTGTTAGGTGCTGGTTGGTTGACTCACCCGGGGGAACACTTGGCTTTGTTAGGTGCTGGTTGGTTGACTCACCCGGGGGGAACACTTGGCTTTGTTAGGTGTTGGTTGGTTGACTCACCCGGGGGGAACTCTTGGCTTTGTTTGGTGTTGGTTGGTTGACTCACCCGGGGGAACACTTGGCTTTGTTAGGTGTTGGTTGGTTGACTCACCCGGAGGAACTCTTGGCTTTGTTAGGTGCTGGTTGGTTGACTCACCCGGGGGGAACACTAGGCTTTGTTAGGTGCTGGTTGGTGACTCACCCGGGGGGAACACTTGGCTTTGTTAGGGGCTGGTTGGTTGACTCACCCGGGGGGAACACTAGGCTTTGTTAGGTGCTGCTTGGTTGACTCACCCGGGGGGAACACTAGGCTTTGTTAGGTGCTGCTTGGTTGACTCACCCGGGGGGAACACTAGGCTTTGTTAGGTGCTGGTTGGTTGACTCACCCGGGGGGGAACACTAGGCTTTGTTAGGTGCTGGTTGGTTGACTCACCCGGGGGGAACACTAGGCTTTGTTAGGTGCTGGTTGGTGACTCACCCGGGGGGAACACTTGGCTTTGTTAGGGGCTGGTTGGTTGACTCACCCGGGGGGAACACTAGGCTTTGTTAGGAGCTGGTTGGTTGACTCACCCGGGGGAACACTAGGCTTTGTTAGGTGCTGGTTGGTTGACTCACCCGGGGGGAACACTAGGCTTTGTTAGGTGCTGGTTGGTTGACTCACCCGGGGGGGAACACTAGGCTTTGTTAGGTGCTGGTTGGTTGACTCACCCGGGGGGAACACTAGGCTTTGTTAGGTGCTGGTTGGTGACTCACCCGGGGGGAACACTAGGCTTTGTTAGGTGCTGGTTGGTTGACTCACCCGGGGGGAACATTAGGCTTTGTTAGGTGCTGGTTGGTTGACTCACCCGGGGGGATCACTAGGCTTTGTTAGGGGCTGGTTGGTTGACTCACCCGGGGGAACATTAGGCTTTGTTAGGTGCTGGTTGGTTGACTCACCCGGGGGGAACACTAGGCTTTGTTAGGTGCTGGTTGGTTGACTCACCCGGGGGGAACACTAGGCTTTGTTAGGTGCTTGTTGGTTGACTCACCCGGGGGGAACACTAGGCTTTGTTAGGGGCTGGTTGGTTACCTCACCCAGGGGGAACACTAGGCTTTGTTAGGTGCTGGTTGGTTGACTCACCCGGGGGGAACACTAGGCTTTGTTAGGGGCTGGTTGGTTGACTCACCCGGGGGGAACACTAGGCTTTGTTAGGTGCTGGTTGGTTGACTCACCCGGGGGGAACACTAGGCTTTGTTAGGGGCTGGTTCGTTGACTCACCCGGGGGAACATTAGGCTTTGTTAGGTGCTGGTTGGTTGACTCACCCGGGGGGAACACTAGGCTTTGTTAGGTGCTGGTTGGTTGACTCACCCGGGGGGAACACTAGGCATTGTTAGGGGCTGGTTGGTTGACTCACCCGGGGGGAACACTAGGCTTTGTTAGGTGCTGGTTGGTTGACTCACCCGGGGGGGAACACTAGGCTTTGTTAGGTGCTGGTTGGTTGACTCACTCGGGGGGAACATTAGGCTTTGTTAGGTGCTGGTTGGTTGACTCACCCGGGGGGGACATTAGGCTTTGTTAGGTGCTGGTTGGTTGACTCAACCGGGGAACACTAGGCTTTGTTAGGTGCTGGTTGATTGACTCACCCGGGGGGAACACTAGGCTTTGTTAGGTGCTGGTTGGTTGACTCACCCGGGGGGAACACTAGGCTTTGTTAGGGGCTGGTTGGTTGACTCACCCGGGGGGAACACTAGGCTTTGTTAGGTGCTGGTTGGTTGACTCACCCGGGGGGAACACTAGGCTTTGTTAGGGGCTGGTTGGTTGACTCACCCGGGGGAACATTAGGCTTTGTTAGGTGCTGGTTGGTTGACTCACCCGGGGGGAACACTAGGCTTTGTTAGGTGCTGGTTGGTTGACTCACCCGGGGGGAACACTAGGCTTTGTTAGGGGCTGGTTGGTTGACTCACCCGGGGGAACACTAGGCTTTGTTAGGTGCTGGTTGGTTGACTTACCCGGGGGGGGGAACACTAGGCTTTGTTAGGTGCTGGTTGGTTGACTCACCCGGGGGGAACATTAGGCTTTGTTAGGTGCTGGTTGGTTGACTCACCCGGGGGGAACATTAGGCTGTGTTAGGTGCTGGTTGGTTGACTCACCCGGGGGAACACTAGGCTTTGTTAGGTGGTGGTTGGTTGACTCACCCGGGGGAACATTAGGCTTTCTTAGGTGCTGGTTGGTTGACTCACCCGGGGGGAACACTAGGCTTTGTTAGGGGCTGGTTGGTTGACTCACCCGGGGGAACACTAGGCTTTGTTAGGTGCTGGTTGGTTGTCTCACCCGGGGGGAACATTAGGCTTTGTTAGGTGCTGGTTGGTTGACTCACCCGGGGGGAACATTAGGCTTTGTTAGGTGCTGGTTGGTTGACTCACCCGGGGGGAACACTATGCTTTGTTAGGTGCTGGTTGGTTGACTCACCCGGGGGGAACACTAGGCTTTGTTAGGGGCTGGTTGGTTGACTCACCCGGGGGAACACTAGGCTTTGTTAGGTGCTGGTTGGTTGACTCACCCGGGGGGGAACACTAGGCTTTGTTAGGTGCTGGTTGGTTGACTCACCCGGGGGGAACATTAGGCTTTGTTAGGTGCTGGTTGGTTGACTCACCCGGGGG